TTGCATACAGTTTTCTTTGCAGTTTTTTTCAGTAATGTTGACTATTGCATCAGTTTAACTTACACGGAGGAGCAAAGTGTGATTTAGAGCAAATGAAGTTCATCTGTCCATCAGGATTAGTAGCTGCAGCAACAGTGGACTGTCCTGTGGGTGGTGGTAATGCTACATCAATGAAGGCTCAAGCTAAACAATCATTCTGACATGGCTGACTGACACATAGAAATATTTTCTGAGTACCTAACTCAGGTGAATAAAACAGCCTGTTTCTATAGCTGTAAACAAGAACTGTATTTTTTTCCTAGTATGTATATTTGTTAGGTGAAATATAGTATATATGTATACATTTTATATTGAAGGTAAGCTTCTGTGGTGCTTTGAAGGCATTGTAAATGTATATTATACTTGCATTATTATAAAAACAATGTTGTGTGTTAGGCACATAACTGTGAAGAAGAAGTATGTTGAAACATAATTATAGAATTCAAATTAGCTTGTGCATATTTTCAGTTAACATTTTGTCACCTTTTATTTTACAAGAAGAACATCTGAAATTATGCCAGAAAAGATAAGTAGATGAGGTTAATAGCTCGCGTTACATTAACATGTAGCATGAAAATCCATATGAGGAGTTAACAGCTATGTATGCTGACGTGCATTACAGTAAAAGATAGTGAGATTAGTACTAACATGCAAAAAATTTTCGCGTTAGTACAGAAGACATTAATTTCATGAAACTCTTAATAAATAAGATTACTTGCTTTATAGGCCCTATTATTAGGGAGGAAAACTCTTCCAAAGGATTCACAGGTAACAAAGTGACTTTTCAGGAATGGTTGGTGGTCTGCTAGTTTTCTATTGCTTATGTTCATCTTCCTATTTAAAATTATTTTAAAATGTGCAGTCTTCTCATTTGAAGTTTTTCACTGCTTATTGCCATTATTTTAATTCATTTCCCATGGTGTTTGGCTATACTCATCACTGGAATTTCAAGAATTTCATGGAGAAGTGGAAAGGTGTGGCTTTTTTTAAGTGATGCAGCTTTGTTTTATTAAAAAATGTTAAAGTAATAGAAATTAATAGTTATTTTCAGTGTTCAGATTGAGAAATCTTATGGGTTTTTTTCAGCAGGCATATGGGGACCCAAAATCAAAGGATGTGGAATGATTCATTCTGAAAATCTTGGCTTGTCTTTAGTTGGAAGACTTGAGGTTTTATTTTTTTTAGATCAGAAGTCTGATTTTGATTCTACTTCCTTTTTTCTAATATATTCCATTGTAACAGTATTTGACATGACATACTATGAAATGGAGAAAAATTCTAAGCAATGAGAAAAAGATTTTTTCCCTTTTGAGTGCTAATTTTTTTAGGAGCCATACCTCAAAAAAATTATTATCTGAAAATTGCTATTAAAAAAATTCAGAAGAATGGGATTCTTCACTGTAATTCAACGTAATAAATATTCCCATTAGAAATTTCTTCTTTTATATGTCACTAGAACATTTTTTATTGTTTGATTTGAGGGTGACTCTGGCAGTAAGTGTCTTCTGAGATTGAGGTAGTTTTGCTTTTGTTAGTATTGTTACTGTTTCTGTTAGTTCCAGTGATATCCTTCTTTAAAGCTCTATCTCATTGAATGTGCACTGTCTCTCCAATTTTTATTAAAATCACCAGCATTCTTTCTCTCCCTGTAGTCCCATTTTAAAAAGATGTTTCAGTGGGAATATGTACTTACTTTTAATAGTCTGTGTCTCTCAGAAATTTGTGTGCTTTTTATTTTACGTTGAGAAGTCCATGTACACATTGCAAATCGGTGTGTTTACTCGGTTGCTGTACATGCTAACACTAATGCTTTCTAGAAAACATAAGTCTCTAAGCTGTTGCCATCATTGTAATTAATTAATTCTTGTTTTGCTATCTTTAATCTTTTAAAGATTTTTTCAGTTTTAATAAAAATACTCTTACTGATGAATGGTTTCTCTAAAGCTTTACTGTCCCTTTGACTGGGTTATATGAGATATATATATATGTGTGTGTGTGTGTGTGTGTAATTGCATTCAAAAGAGTTAAAATAACATTATGTTTACAAAGTGAAGCTCTCAAACTGAGGGAATTCCAGAGCTTTGTTTCTTTCTGCAGTCCTAGTTACCTTCCTTGTGTACATGTATTATGACAAATCTGTATCTTCTTCTTGACTGTCTCCTTCTAGAATGTGCTCACTTAGGGTGCATACTTTCTGTACCTTATTTTATTGGTCTAGTTCAGTAGGTGGTCCAATTCTGCACGTTGTTCAGTGGTGGTGGGAAGATGAAATTGTTCTATAAAAATCATCAGTAGTAGTTCAGTGTTCAAAATAGCAACAGAACTGTTTTACTGAGCAGTGAATTGCTTTTCAGGTCTGTTGATATTAAAACTATGTGTGTGGGTATATTTAAATATTTTTAAAATATTATTTGTATATATAAAACCTTGATTCCCTGACTTTGGCATTGAAGACTGAAAGTTATCTGACAGAAAAGAAAGAGGATTCTTTGCAGAATCACAGTATGGATTCTTTACAGTTTCACAGGACTTTCATGGTACAAATGTTCGAGGGCACTGGGCTTGTAGATGCTAAACATTTTAAACAATTATCTGTATGAACTATTGTAAAAGTGAGAATTATCATTTGGTACCATGGGCATTGAGATCAGATGAGATGTGTTTTCATTCATCAAATGACTACAAGCCTTTCAGATTTATAGATTTCAAGTTTCACGTGACCTCCTTGGTTTATATAGTTAAACAGTTGGGGAAATTTTAGGTAATGCCATAGATACCTGTATCATTTGAAAGGTTTACTGACCAACTTTTGTTGCTTTTTGACATCAAAGGTGTAGAGTGATAGTAATGGTCTGCACATTAATTCAAGTTTCCAAACAGTATGAGAGTTAAGAGGATTGATCTGAGTATTACAAGCGCTAGGTAATTTCAGGACTTCCATCTTTTAAACTGCATTAGGAAAGCTTGAGTTTGTCTCAAAAGATCTACCTAATATACTGGAAAGACATTAATTTTGATTCAGACATGATAAGGTGGGTGTCAGTAGTTTATATCCTTATAATTACTTCTTTCTCTGAAATACATATTTGGTTTGAAAGTGTTTTGGACCATGTGGGAGATTATCTACTTCAGACATATTTTGATGAGGGTTGTGGCTTTATTAATATTGTTGTATCTTATCTAACCAGTAGATTACAGTAACACAGACCAGTCTCCCAACAGGTGAATCTGGGTTTGCAAGTTTATAAAAAAATAATTAATTCCCCTACTTTTAATTTAGAAGTTGAATAAGAATTCTTGTATGGAATTGAATGTGTTGGGCTGACATAGTTTAATTTTCTGCGTCGACTTAGCTGTACTTTCTGTGTTTATTTTATTGGACAGATAGAACTGTGTATTGTACAAGCTGAGTTGGTGCCAACATAATATTTCCAATAAGTTGTTTAATCACTGAACAAGTCTGCTTTCAAAATGGGCAATGTGCCCATTGCCAGTGTGCAGCACTGGGTTAGAATAACTTAACAATTACACTGGTTGTGTTTAAAAAGCATCCTGACTCAAATCAGCTGTAACTGTTGGACAAAGTAGTTAAGTATGCCAGTAATTTTTTAACATCATCAGAAAGGGACTTTCCTTTTTTTCCTGGTCTCTGAAGGCCATCAGCACTTTTAAACACTAATAAAAGTTTGTTTAGCACGAAGGAAAATTTGCTGTCTTTGCAATTTTCCCAGCTCCAGTTGGCTTACATTGCAAAAAGCAGAGCTCAGGGTTGAACCTACATTTTCTTTGGAAGAACTCAAAGCACTGACTAGCCATATGCCACATAATTTGAACTTGTATATCGCAAAGAGATATGTTCTTGATCATACTTTTTTTATGAGTTCTGAAGAAAATATTAAAGCAATAAGAATTGTTTGTGATCTGTTCTAAAAGTATTTCTGAAATACAGAAGAAACATTCTTCCCTCTCTGTGTGGATAACATACCAGATATGAAACTAGTATATCATTCTGCTTTCTAAACGGTAAATTAAAGAGCCGTCTCTACTACTTGCATGATGTTTTAGGGAAATCTTGCGACCAAAGAATCTGTCTTTTATTCCAAAATCCAAACTCCAGATATAATTATGGAGAAAAGGGCTGAGGAAGCAAAGCTAGCCTGTTTTGTTTTGATTGGACTAAAAGTTTAGACTTAAGTTCTCTGTGGTCAGGAGGCTGAGATTAAAGGGTCTGTAATTAGATTCAATACTCCATGTGTCTTAATGCCCAGAAAGGCCAAACCCTGTCTGCAGGCAATGGTAGTTGCCAGGATCATCAAAAATAATTCATAGATGCGAGTGAAAAGGAAATTATGCACGCTTTCTGAAATAGTTTGTTCTTACTTGCTCTGTCTTGTTTGTGTTAAAAGAAAGGGTAGGAAATCCCTCAAAATATCTAGTAAACAAGTAGAACTTGAGGTTGAAAAGAAATAGTTTTACTTCTGGAAACAGATTGCCTAGGTCTTGTAGGTAGTCCTCTATATTCCAGTCACATTTCATTAGTTTTTCCTTTTGATCCTCCTGTTTTCCTTACGTTAGATATAGTGGTACCCCAAGCAAAATAGGCTGTTGGATATCTGCATTTTTTATATGTACATGTGTGTATGAACAGAGAAAAGATTGTTGCTACATGGTAACAAGAGGGCAGCTGCATCTTTTGATTAATAATTTATACCAAGTAATAATTAAGGGTTTTGTTTTAGAGATTTCCACATTTAGGTTAATAGTAATGGGCAAAGCAAGCATCCTTTTGGCTGAACTAACAGTTGAGCATAACACTTGAGGATGTGTTTGGTCTTCAGGCCCTTCTGCAAACACCGTGATGGTACTTGATGGTTCCACTCTTCCCCAGTCCAGCTGCCCATTGCGGAGGCTGACATGAAGTATACTCTGGACTGCTCTCTGAGTGCTCTTCTCTTTTACAGGCAAGTTAAAGACCAAAATAAGAAGGTAGCAAATCTGAAGCACAAAGAGCAAGTGGAGAAAAAGAAGAGTGCACAGATGCTGGAGGAGGCCAGGAGACGAGAGGATAATCTTAATGACAGCTCCCAACAGCTTCAGGTAACATGGGAATTGAATTAAAGCAATTTGGCCAATCAGCCAGGCTTAGCTACCTCGCTCTCCACTGTACCTCTTGATCCATTTTCATAGCTATTACCTAAGAAATTTGCTATTGGTTGTTTAAAAGGACACATCTATCCCAGAGCACTTCAAAGAAAGCAGCTTCTCTCAGCTGCCATCATAGCTTACTTCATTTTCATGGAAGGGAAAAATAGTTTTAGCTGTCAGCTCTGTTACAAAGTGCATCATTGAAATAATTTTGTCATTTCGGTATTGAGATTGGTGTGGCACTTCTTTCTTCACTCCTCTTCTAACAGCCTTTTTCTTTAGCTGTTTTGTGTATTTTCCCAGCTGGTTTTACCTTGTATCGGTGCCCTTTCTTCAGTAAATGAAAGCTACCCAAGTAAGTATTCTTACAGTTAATTGGAATTGTTGTGGGGTAACTGGAGGACCGTGTTTTCTATGTTTACTCATCCTTGTTTGACAATGAAACCCTCTACCTCGTGAATTCTTGGTATGCTTACTAGCCAGTGTACTTTATTTCTGAAATGATAACTTGCTTCTGCCTCACAGAATTATCTGATTACTTCAAATCTACCCAGGCAAATGAAATTCACCAGTATGAAAGCAAGTAAAATATTTCTCAGTATGCTGTATGTTGATCTTAAGTGTAGATGGTTTATTAAACAGTAAGTTTTCAAGTGCTGTCACAAAAATGTTAAGCTATTGCCATGAAATAAAGCAAAGATACTGTGATGCTAAGTAAGGACATAACAGATATTTTGCCTATGATTTTAATTTACAAAAATAATTTTCCTTTTGGTGAGTGAAAATAAACATGAAAACAGTAATCTGCCATTGCAATCTTTTCAAATTATTCTTTTAAATCTTTAGAGAACAAGCCTTCTCCTAGGTGTTTTCCTTTGTTATCTTACGTTTGTTGTTACCAGCTTACATATCGTTAATGCATCTGCAATGAAGACACAGAATAAATCCTAGCAGTTCAGTAGAAAAGATAATTTACTCAATGCTCCTTAATTTAAACAGGTACTCTGTGGAATTCCAGGGGGATGGTTTCAATTTTTTAAGAACTTTTGAAAGAACCACAGAAACATGTGTCCATGTGGAACACTCTCAGATGCACCATGTTGTGGTTTTCCCCCTCAATTCCAGTCCTGTTTGTGCAGGGCACTGAAACAGTTAAGTTCCAAGTGTATGAAAATTATTTCATAACTGCAGACTTTTATAAAAGGCGGGGATGTGGGATTTCTACATCTGCTAATGGGTTTTGTGGCTGCAATGCTATGGCAATCCACAAGGCTCTCGTTATGTGGCAGCTTAAGTTTAAATAACACAATCCTCCTTGTATTAGTGAAATGTCTTTAAAGATTCCTACAACTAATACAATATTTGGTTAGATATCTAATCTGTGTTTGAGTAAATCCATATTTTATGTTTGCAAAAATAAGTGGTAGTTGACATTTGCCTGGCAATTATGTGTATGGTGTATTTATTGAATGACAGCATCCCACAAGATCATCTTCTTTGTTTTTATGTAGCATTTTCAGATTTTGAAAGGTATGGCATTCTTTTCTGGCTTTTTTCCCCCACAATTATTCTTTCCCTTTTCATTTTTCTTTCTTTTAGACAAATGGAATGCATTGGAAAAAGCCCGAAATTTGTTTTCTCTCAGCTCCTATTTGCACACTAAAATTGCTCAAATTGCTCTTCTTTTTTTTTTTTTTTTTTTTTTTTTTTATTAAACAGTAAGTTATGTAATGTGTTTGTACAACTACACATCACAATGGACAGACAGTGATATTCTGGTTTCTGATAACTTTAAGTGTTGTTAAAACTATTTAACACCAGTTTCTGATACTTCAGAGAGATTGTACGGCTTTGATGGCAGTAGTGGGGCAGCTTTTGCTCAGAAATTAGGTGGCGCATACTGGTGCTGCTTTATATCAGAGTTCTTTAGGAATATATAGCTGTCCTTGCAATGTCCTAGCCAATTCTTTACATAGAAAGTGTTTTAGCAGTGGAGAGATCATAGATATAAAACTATGTATAGCATAGTTAGCATAATTTTACTCTAAATATTTCCTCTTTTATAATTTCAAAGTAGCCAACTTACATCTAGGAACGAGAAAGAAATAACCAATTGTCTCTTTTGAGGAAGCCAAGTTGTTTGATGTTTTTCTCTTTTTCTGCAGTTACTTTGTTGTAGGCCAATGGTATAATAGAGAAGCTAAAATTGGGAACAAAGATGTCAAAATGGATAATTTTATTATCTTTACCTTTTTACATTCAGGTTTTCCAATTAGAGATGTCTATACAGTATCACATACTTTTTTCCACTTTGCTTATATTGTGTTTCATTCTGCACTGGTCCCCGTTGCTTTCTGTACAATTATATGCAAGCATTTCTGAGTTAAGAATAGACATTATTACATGCACGTAAGAATTGAAGATTGAAGAGGGATGTGATAGTCAACACTGAAATGTGTAAGTTATCATAGTATTAGTATTTACTTGATTTTCTCTAGTGCCTTTTCTGCTTTTGTGAACATAATTGTCCTGTTTGGGTGGGCTCGATTTTAGAGTCTCTCCCCATATTCAACACAGGGCTGAAGGGAATGCTTTCATTCACAGATGAAAAAGGTCTGTATGCTCTAACGAAAATATCAGGCTAAGGTAAAATATGGAGTGTTTAATGACAAGTGACAGGTTCAATAAAAACTCCTTCCTTTAGAAGAGCCCTCTGCTTATAGCCTCCCTCTCTCAAGAACTCTAACGTTTTGGTTTCCTGGAAGGAAAATTTACCCAGGATTTCAATTTGTTAGTTATGGAGACCTGTCTTCTCCATAGACTCTAAAGGGCACTGCTTTTTAATTGATTAAAAAAAAAATTAAACCTGAGAGGAACATAGAAATTTTTTTTTTTCTTTTTTTTTAATGCAACCATTGTTGGCTTTGGGGTCAGGACACACAAGCACCAATTTCAGATAATTTTGGTCTTGGTGGTTTTGGCTGGAATTAATAATAAGACATTATGAAATGCTTAAAAATATATGATCTGCATGTTCTTCGGTTGACCGTCTGCAATCCAGTCAAATAAACACGCTCCCAAGCACATACTCCACTCCTCCTCTCTCTGTCCCTAACAGGCATGTGGTTTCTTTCTTCCTGAGTCCAGTAACAAAATGTGCGTTTATTCAGAGACCTCTGATGATGGAAATTTGGTATTTTGGGGAGTGGGGGAAGAATGAAAACCATAATGTCTCAATTCTAGTGAGATGGATAAATGTCTTTCCAAATTTGTCTTTTCCTCCTGGGATCCCTTAAACCACAACTCTCCAGAGATCTGAGAGGTTAAGGAGTGTCTGGTCTATAAGCAGGGTAAAACAAAAACCCAAGCCTTTGGGCTGGAGTAGAAAACTTTTGCTTCAAGTAACTGAAGCTTGGCTATTGTGAAAACGAACTGATATACAGTCTTGTCCTAGAAAGGTAACATTTACTGAATGGGTACTTGGAACTGACATCTGAAGGTAGTCTGCATATTTTCTTATTCTATCACTCCAGCATCTTCCAGAGTTTTTAGGAGGAATTTTCAGAATATCTTGTGGCATGGAGTTGTGTACTACTGCATCTATGTTGCAGCACCTGTCCATCAATCTCAAATTGCTGCTGACAAACTGTATGTCCAGAAGCTGTCTAAAACATGTTTGAATGCTTTAATGAACAACTGTAAAACCAAGTAAACTTATTAATTTTTTCATCTTTTTCCACACTCAAGTTTAGTTAACTTAATGTATAATTCCTAATCTATGGATTATATATGTAAGTGTATGTTGTTTGTCCCTTGCGATTATATAACTCTTTTATCATATTGAGCATTAAATAGGAAAAACATCCATCTAATGGAAAGAACTGAATTTTCAATCTAAGCAAATATGCAATTTTTTATTCAATAATGCTTTTACTGGGATCCAGACAAAGCTCGATAAAATGGATAGGTAGCCAAATACCTTCTCATGAAATGAACCTTCTAAATTCGTTAAGTATCAACCTTCATGCCACAAGCCTGTCAGTGTTCAGGAGGCATTTGGACAATGGCCTTAACGATATGCTTTAATTTTTGGGCAGCCCTGAATTCATTGGGCAGTTGGACTAGATGATCATTGGAGGTCCCTTCCAGCTGAAATAGTCTACTCTGTTCTAATTAACTGTTTGTTATGGGGCACCATAGCGTGTACACACAGTCAATATCAACATTGAAATTCTGAAAAGGGAAGCCTGGTCCATCTGGTCTTAAATTACTGAAGAATTTTCTCTTGACTGTGATTGGCTCTTGAGGGTAGGGGGGCTGAAGTTTTTTCATCAGATCTGTTGGTGATGATACCATGCCATGATAAAAATGATGGCTTGTCATCTTTTGGTTGTTAGTAAAGAGAGATCGTGCTTCCCTAATTAACCTATGAACTTGCTTTTGGGCAGTGTGTACCAAGCTTCTGAAGAAATGGTTAAAGAGAAGCTTTCCAAACTTAAAGTGCAACATTTTCTCCATAACTTTCTAGGCATTGTCAGCTTTGAAGCAAATTGGTTATGCTAGTTAAATGGTGTTACATGTTTTCCTGGGATAAGTGAATTTCAAGCGCTGAGTTCCTGTCTATTTTCTCTTCTATACAGACCACTGCCATATCAGATTCCAGCCTTGCCTGCCAGCTGAGTGGAGTGTACTTTCTTTATCCCTTGGATAGCACAACTCAGCATGTTCAGGCCCATGAAACTGTCAGCTACTCCATTTCAGCCTGGTAGAAGTCTATTCTTTAATGCCATCTTGCATCTGCAGGATTTATTCCAGAGAACAGTCTGACTTCTCAGACCTGTAGTTTCTCATTGAGCTTAGATCCATCTTTTGGGAATTACTCAAATCAAAATGTTCTTTTTCTGTTCCTTCCTTTCCCGTACTTTTTAGACATTAATTACATCAGGGAGGAG